TCTCTAAGTATTTATGAAGAACATCTTAGTGAGTTATAATTTCATCTAGAAAAAAAATTCAAAAGTAGCATAAAGGTTAGTCAAAGTAAACTATAAAATAAATCGTATCTTCACAGAAACATTAAAGGTTAGTCAAAGTAAACTATAAAATAGATCTTCACAGAAACATTCTAAAAAGGCGAAAATTGCTAAATTAGAGACAACAGAGAAGTAGCATCCCTTAGCCACAGTCTTTAATCTAATGTTTACAATTAAAACTTTCTCTTTAACAATTCAGAGTAGTCTGGTCCCCGTCTTATCTAATGTTTGTTTGAATCGTGAACAGTTTACACTGATTCAAACAAACATTAGATAATCTTTGATCAATCAGTGGATCAAAGAACAAAGGAGTGATAATGCTTTACAAACACTTTCAAAGAACGTTGAATAAAATGACCTCCAAACCACACTGACCTTATTGGACACGTTGACCTATTAAAACAAACCCCACACCAGTGCTGTTACTGGCAGTTTCTCAGCCACCAGTGACAATGCTAATGCTACAGCCTAGTGCCGTTCGAGGGGCTCAAGGCTTCATAAGGATGTCGGAAACACGGAGAGGAAAAACAAACTCTGATCATCGTAATAATGTGAACCTCCAGGTCAGGCGGTTTGTACAGATGGGAAATGGGAGTTCGTGCTGTGACCTGTTTTGGAAACAGACTCATGCAGACGGATTAAAACTCGATGAGATCTTTTATCCTCCCCCGCCCCCTATATTTGTTCATGAGCTTCAAATTAAAAAGGGAATGTTCTAATGTAATAAGATAATCACTGGGAAGAATGTGTTCTCTCTCTCTCTCTCTCTCTTACTCTCTCTCTCTCTGACTGAAATGTATTAAATCTGCAAATATTTAAAAAAATACAGACCCCAAATCAGAAACACTCAGTACCAAATTATTCTATTTTCTGTTTTGGTAAGACCAGGAAGTGCCTGAAGACTTTTTTTGTTGTGAAAAACCTGGCTTAGACATCCTGTAATTAAAAGATTAAACATCTTCATTCCTTAATTGATTAGAAAGTAGAAGCAATTCATCAACAGTGAACTTTCAAGTGTTTGAGGTCTGAAAGCTTCAAAGTGCTGAATGTGGAGCTGTAATGGAGTGGAGGAGCGCCGTGTGCCCCTGCAGCTGCCTGGATTTAATTTGTTCCGACAGTCGTGTCACGGCTCAAGCTGCGATAAAAAAAACCCCCGTCAGTGAACCACATGACAGGCTGGTTACAGATGAGAAACCTGACGATCAGGATCATGGCTACAGCTGAGCAGCCTGATGAAGCTGAGCTCAGGTTTATCATTGTTTCCTCCTTCACTTTGACACCACACCTTCATTTTGAGGTCATTGGAAGTGCTTGTGTCACCTGGAAATCCACTACACGCTCACCGACTCATTCAGAAAGCTAAATTTGTTAAACAAAAGAAATAATTAAACAATAATCAGTTCATGAGGTCACACGGTGGAGGAGAGGTTACTTCTCTTGCCTTTCAACAAGACGATCGCCAGTTCACTGGTTTCCATCCCAGGTCTTTTCATCTGGAGTTGCGTGAATTTAACACTTGTTTTTGCCATTTAAAAAATGACATAAAATGCCCTGATTCAAAGAGTTGTATTGTACAGTGTCATATAATATGGTTTCGTACTGTGTCATTGCATCTCCTAATGTATTGTGCGATATCATATGATTGTACCGTATCTTATCATACAGTACTGTATCGTAGTGCATCATACCATGTCCATCTTATTTTCCCCATTAGGAAATTATATTTTGCACAATCGTCCTAATTTAGCAAATACCAGGGCACGCTGTCGAATAAATCCACACATTTAACAGTCCCATACACACATATATATATATATATATATATATATATACATATATACATATATGTATATATATACATATATGTGTATATATATATACACATATATACATATACATATATATACACATATATGTATATATGTATATATATTTATATATACATACATATATTTATATTATATAATATTCAAAGAAGAAACATAAATAATAGGAACCTTAAAAAGGATGTCCGAACCAGCCATGAATGAATACATATATATATATATACATACATATATATATACATACATATATATATACATACATATATATATACACATACATATATATATACATACATATATATATACACATACATATATATATACATACATATATATATACATACATATATATATATATATATATACATATATACATATATGTATATATATACATATATGTATATATGTATATATATATATATATATATATATATGTATTCATTCATGGCTGGTTCGGACATCCTTTTTAAGGTTCCTATTATTTATGTTTCTTCTTTAAATAAAACCGATGATGGGGGAAAAGGACCTTTCACAGGTGTGGAGCTGCTGTGTGACGTCCTCTGAGGTCCACTGGACGTCTTCAACCTTGCGTTTCCTGCTGTGTTCTTTCAGTTTTTTCTCTAACACAAGTCCTTCTCCTTTGTGTTTCCTGTTTGTGTTCAGGGTGAGTGCTCCTACGAAGAGCAGCTTCGTCCTCACACACACAAAAATGATGTTGTTGGTCACGTGACGAACAGACAGAAGAGCAAAGACAGGCGCACCGGGACAGCAAATAAAAAGACCAAAGTGTCTCCTCATCTGGAATATATACATGAGGGAGAAGAAGGAGAGAAAACCCAAGAATCAGAATTCATGTGTGCTGCAGCTCTGACAAAAACAACACGGTCAAGTCGTCAGGAGACAGGAGAACTAGAAGACTTCACAGATGATCCAGGCCTCCGGGACTTCTCCAGTCCTCATCCCATCAATGACCGCCTTGTAGCTGACATGGATGATGACGCCTGTGTCGTCCTCAATTCAGACTCTGCTGTGACTGAGCCCCTACATTCAGAGAGGAGGGCGAAGACTGCAGCAGAGGAAGACCTCGAACTGCAGGCCATGTTTTTTCTTCCCTCGTGGGACAATGTACCTTGTCCTCCGTCCCTTGGTGAACCTCTGCCGGGAGGATCTGAGAAGCTGAAGGTCATTCTGGCCAATGTGGAGGAGCTTCTGTCTCGATCTCCTCAGCCACTGACTGACGACCTGGGGTCAGACTTGGCTCCTCCTCCTTCTAATCAGGTGATCGAGGTTCCATTTAACGTCAGCTTTACTTTGGATCTAGACGACGACGATGACGAAGTAGACGATGGCTCACCAAGGGTGGACTCACCTCCAACTCCACTGGAGGAAAATGACAAATTGGAGGCCAAGAGTCCCAGCTGGGATGATGTTTTTGAAGACGAAGAAGAAAACAATGATCATCATAGGAGGGATGAAGACCTGGAGATGGACTCGAAGGAGGGAAACGCTCATGAAGAAGCTGATAAAAGTAGGAAAATAAGTGTTGATGACTTCAAGAACGAGGATGAAGATGGTTTGGACTTTGACCGTCAGTCGAGTGAGAGCATGGATCTGTTCGGAGACGACGAAGCCTTCCTGCAGATGACCATACCTAACATCTCCACCCCTGGCCTCACACCCAGGAGTTCCCCCGGTGGCAAAGGTGGCAGTGAATACGTGTCCAACATGTCGTATGTAGAAAGTCACACCACCGGCCCACGCAGTGAGACAGCTGCAGAAGACACACACACTTTAAACACAGCACAAACGGCCTGCGCGACGCACACACACCCCGATGTCACCAGAGCTAACGCTAACACCACACACACGGGAGCGATCGGTGAACCTTCATCACCTCCCACAATGCAACGCAACTCTGAGTCGTTTGACAATTCTAAGGACTTCTTCTCAGTCAACTTTGACCTGGGTTATTCACTGGAGGAGGAGGAGGACGAGGAGGACGAGGACGAGGAGGAGGAGGAGGAGGAGGGCGAGGAGGAGGAGGGAGCAGATGTGGAGGCTGCTCCTGCTCCTCAGGCTGCAGTGCCGTCACCTGCCTCACCCGTGTCTCTGCGGGTCACCTCCAACTTCTCCACTCCTTTGAACAGAAACACCAGCAGCAGCAGAACGTCCATGCAGCACCTTGGTTCTCATTCGTCTTTGACCAGGACGTGGACAGAGCGGAGGGGTGGACAGATGTCTCCTTTTCAGAGCCCGACGACTAAGAGCCAAGCTCTGCCGTCTCCCATCGTGACGACGACGCCGAGGTTCAAGTTCAAGTCTGGTCCAAACACACCGGTATCACTCAGCTGTTCAAAACTGAAGCCGAGGCCTGGAGGAGCTGACGACACCAGGGGAGGGTCAGGGGTGAGGAGCATGACCTGGGACAAAACAAGTCCTCGTCCAGGTTTGAAACCACGATTTCATTTTACCCTGATTATAGTGCTGTTCATCTTGGACAATCATGTTTTTTTTTTTTGTTTTTTTTAATGTTTTCATTTGAAAATGTTTGAGCACAACTTTAATTAATGACATAAAATACATTTAGTATAGTTCCAGTCAGTACTTGATGTTGTACTTAAGAGCAGTAGCTTAAGGGTCGTGAGAACATGTTGGCTCCGCTTTGACCTCTGTCTGACCTTTGTAGCCATTCATTAGACTAAGAGCCACAGACAACAGCACTGCCTGAGATCTAGCATGAAAAACCATCTCAAGGTTTCGAATTGTTTGATGCTGTCATTGATTGATATTTAATGGGCAGTGGTGGCTTAGTGGTTGAGGAAACGGACTTGGGTCAGGAAGGCTATAGGTTCGAGTCCACCAGCTGCCAAGTTACCACTGAGGTGCTCGGCGCATGGCACCGACCCCACGGGTTGATGGGTTAAAAGCAGAGGTCACAATGACAAGTAGTTCACAAAAAGAAAGTGCCAGACAGGTTGATCTTTAACTAACTCTACAAAACCACAACTGTGTTGATACAACTTCCTGTCTGACTTTCCTCAGTGAGATGCATCAGTGACAGTGAAGACGACATTGTGCTTCCTAGAAGAAGAAATCAGAATGTGCTCAACCCCCTGAGATCTCCAGATGTGGTGAGTGGCGGCCACGGTGGCCAATGTTGGTAGAACACCGGCCTCTACAGCAAGGAGATCACCGGTTGATCTCTGTGTGGAGTTTGTGCGTGGGTTCTGTTCCACAGCCCAAAGACATGCCTGATAGGGAGAAGGTAAACCGGACATGATCAACCATAGGTGTGAATGTGAATGGTCCCTGTATGTGATCCTGTGACGTACTGGAAGCCTGAAAGATAGATGAATAGATGGATAATTCACATCCATCTCTGAACCCACTGAACATGTCCAGCGATAAACGACTGTAAAATAGAAAAAAAAAAACCCATAAAAAAGAAGTTTGAAAGAGATGACGCAGGTTGCTGCCGTCAATCACTTCCAAAGCTGCATGTGGTCGTCATGGCAACCAGTCGGCCGCATTTAGGAGAGCCATAGGAGCTCCAGAGGTATCTTAGAAAAACAGATCCAGTCTTCTAAGAAGAGCTTCTTGTCAGCACCAAGAACACAGTGGGAAGACAGGAATTGAATTCACGTGGTGATTTGTATGAAAATGTCATATATTTAATTTTTCACAGTCCAAGATGAGTGACGTAGACTCTCCCCTGGTGGTGAACAGAAAACGTCCGGCTCCGCTGAACACAGTGAGGCTTTTTCATTTGCACTTTATTTAATAGCCATCACTGGTTCTTCTGATTCCATTTCCCTTCTAATAATTATAATAATTATATCTTCACACCCTCACAGTCCGGGGAAACCGAGGCCGAAGGTGTTTCTGACGATGATTTCCAGGACGAGATTGTTCCCAGACTCAAACCTGCAGCACAGAGAGCTGAGAGGAAACGGGGGCCACAGAGCAGAGCCAAGGTTTGTAGAGCAGCAGACGGTTATGTGTGAAGGTGAGATGACAGGATCTGACACCCTCTCACCCTGTCAAGATGTCTATCAGAATTACTCTACTCTTACTATGTATGTATACATATATATTAATATATGTATATATATATATATAAATATATATATATATATACATATATTAATATATGTATGTATATATATGGTATAAGTATGTTTTTGTGTATACGTATACATATGTATGCATATATGAATATATATACAAAGTCAAAGTCAAAGTCAAATTTATTTATATAGCCCACATTTACAAAATACAGTTTGTCACATGGGGCTTCACAGGGTTGGTAACATCCTCTGTCCTTAGACCGTCAGCCAGGGTAAGGAAAAACTACCGAATATACCGATACACACACAACATCCACATTTTTTTTGTACCAAATATCTACTAAACTGTAACATCAATGCCGAAGTACTCGATGTAAAAAAAAAAAAAGTAGTAAAAACCCTTTTTTTTTTTTAGGCTATTTTTATTGTAAAGCCTAGAAAAACAGGCCAAAGTTCAGGTCGGGTGTATTGAAAATTATTGAAGGTTTTCAGGGAATAACAATATTTTACGGAAACTTTAATATTATACAAACACTGACATTAATTTCATCTGTGACCTGTTCGTTCACACTGAAACATAACGCTGTAAACCAGCGGTTGTTAAACGTCTTACACTGAAAATATTTGCCTCTCCATGTACTACCAGTTTGAGCAATACCAAAATACAGCAACACTGAGTATTAAGAAGGTAACTGTACGACAAAATGTCTGACTGTTCCGTGGAAATACCTGCAGAATAGAAAGTGATTTTTTTAATAATCCTCCTCATCAGGGCAGGTGTCAGTTCCTGGACAACGAAGCAGAGCTGTCGGAGGAGGACGGAGCAGACGTTTCCTCTGATGAGGAGGACGGTGATGATCAGAACCAGTCTCTGGAAGGATTTGTGGACGACAACACACACTTCTCTCAGGCACTGAATGGTGCACGACCATTTTTTGTCCATTAATTATGAAAATCTTAAACGCATTCAGAAACTTTTTTTTTACCCAGTCTTCTTGTTTGTTCTCCCGCGTGTCAGACTCAGAGATGCGTGGTGTTTACCTGAAGTCTGTGAGAAGCCCTGTGGTCTGTGGCAGGTTCAAAATGTCCTACAGGAACCGTCACATGGACGTCTTCTCTCAGGTAGGCACCGGGTTTTTTTCCTTTTCTTCCCAGTCCTCAAACTCCAACAACCTGTCCTCCAAACACAGGTGCCTGAGATGGACGAAACGTACGCCGAGGATAGTTTTGTGGTGAGCAGCGAGGTGGAGGAGGTCGGTAGCAGTGAGGACGAGACTGAAGACGTGGAACTGATGCCCGAGGCCTCTTATATTGACGGGCGAAGGCAGTACGCCACTAGGAGGCGAGTCTTCCTGCACAAGGTCAGAGCAGGAGCAAAGTCTTCATCAGAACAGAGAGCTGAGGTGAAGGCAAAACATACCAGGATCATACGAGTGAATGACTCCAGTGAGGAGGAAAAAAGTGACGTGGAGGACGAGAGAAGTTCGGAAAGGGTGAAGTGTGATGGAGCGCGGCCTGAGCCCTGCAGGATGCAGCCAGAAACGTCTTCATCTTCTCTCTCCAGGACCTCAACCGTATCATCCAGGGTGTCACTGCTGAGTAAAGCACAGAGGAGTTTGACGGCTGAAGAAGACAAGAAAGAAAGGTAAACACACCCTGATTTACTGTGGCTACACAGACTACGAGTAACTAAATTCTGGTGTATTTTTATGTTGTCCTGCAGATGTCGCCAGAGGTTAGAAAATCAATATCTTCTGTCTGATGAGCTGGACTTTGTTGAGCCACTGAGCAAATCGTCTACAAGTCAGGCCAAGGTAACGAGCGGTAAAAATATAAAAATAAGTGCTTAAAAAAACCCTAAACGGATATACAGTACAAGTCTAAACTCTGTTATCAGCTAAACTTTAGCTAAAAAGAAAATATTGCTATCTATATACCTAGCTTACTAGCCAGTCAGCTTTTGTTCATGGTATCTGACAAGTAATTATTTCGGTAATTAGTAATTAGTTCGGTAGCCCGCAAAACATAACTAGCATTCGTTAGCTTAGCAATGGGTTGGACAATGACTTTTTTTTAAGAGCTGGAATGGCTGTATAAAGTCAACTCAGAATATTTTTTTAATTTACAAAAAAAATAAAAAATTCAACCTGATGATATTACTGTGATAATAAGGAGAATGGTAATCTATTTATAAAAATATTGTTTTTATTGTTGTAATAAGGAGAATGGTAATCTATTTATACAAATATTGTTTGTAAAAATACAACTGGCGTACATTATCTGGAGATTAGCCTTCATGCGTCATGATAGATATTACCCTATTATCAAGAATAGACAAGAAAGTGACATCAGCCTTAATGTAGCAGGGGTTAGGATGTAGATAAATAAGTGAGGTGTCATGAAAAGAGACAGAAGTAGTACTTCAACAACAAATACCAACGAACAACACTATACTTTCTCCATTATATCCTCTCTCCGTCTCTGTCTTTAGACACCAACCTCCACCTCCTCAGCACCTCAGACCCAGAGGTCGGTCTGTCCCGATGTGTCCGTCAGTGAGTCCTCTGCTCCACCAGCCCCTGTCTGCATCCTGGTGGACAGTCGCTGCATCAGCGCCGGCGTGGATCTGATGACCAGCCTGCGTCAGCGCCACGCAGCCACCGTCCAAGTCTGCTCTCTGGACGGCAACTACTTTATTGTCAGCAATCGCATGGCAGTGGCGAGGCACAGTCAGTCAGATCTGGCCGCAGTGCAAAACAGGAAGCAGCTGGTGGAAAGAGGGAAAAGACTACAGGGGCTGTTTGAACGGGTTTGCTTCTTAGTGGAGAAGGACCGAAGCAAGCCAGGTCAGTCTGGGGGAGAGGGTGGGGTTTACTTAGTTAGACTCACGTATTAGTGTCGGAAAAAAAAACTGCTTCATGTTGTATACAAGTTTGTATAACAAACGATATTTATGGCATAAAACTGATGGTTTTTTAAAATATCCGCACTCAGGTGAGATTTCACGACTGTTCCAACGATCCCGATATTACGACAGCACCTTAGCGGGCTTGGTTAGGACAGGAGTTCGATTGCTTTGGAGCGATGGTGAAGAGGACAGTGCCCACCTCCTGGTAGACCTGGCCAGGCTGGAGCAGCGTAAAGGTCAGGGCATCTGCGCACCGCTGGAGGTCAAAGGGCAGCACAGCGAGCAGGCTCTGCAGATGTACCTGAACCTGCCCTCGGTCAGCTACGTTCACGCTCTGAACCTGAGCCACAACTTCAGGTCCATTTCACATTTCTTCAACAGGTAAAAGAAGACACTTCAGGTGGTTTTTTATTTTATTTTTTTCTTCACCTTACGTCTTCATCTTTGTTTGTTTTGTTTTTGTCCTGAAGTCCGGTTGAGGCCATACAGAAAGGAGGCTGCATGAGTTCATCCAGAGCTGAGGAGATTTACCGCTTCTTACACTACTCCTGCGACACCTCCCTCATGACAGCAGCACATTCAGGGAAAACCAGTTAGCAGCTCTCCGTCCTTAGTTTGTTTTATTTCTTTTCTGTCTCCACACTGACCAGAAGGTCAGAGTATCTGGTTTTTTGTTGTTTTTTTTTGCTCATTAAAAAAAACTGTACCGTAGCAAACAGGACAGGACAGGAAATGCTACATACAACACATGAAAGTATTTGTTTTACAGCACTTTATGATGGAATTTCAGTTGGTTGTAATCATGACTTGTTTAATTCAAGAGACTTGAATAATTTATGGTTTTGTCCTGAATAATGAACCACTCAGTGTATGTCAGTTCATCTTGAATAAAGTCTTATTTTTGTATAACGTCATTTTCTTATTGCTCCGACTATAGTTAAGTTGGAAGCTAAGAACTTATTGTTCCTGTGAAATATGTTCATTATTTGTATATTCTAACGAGTTAACGTTCATTTACCAACTGGCAAATGTTCAGCTAAACTGTAGCTATTTCTGACATACAGTATCAATTCTCCATCTTTGTTATATTTTGTGGAAACTATTTTCTCTTGAGTTTTGTACAGTTAATTTCTCAGCTTACTTTTAGCCTTTTTCAGATGGATGTGCATACATTACCAAAGTGAACTGAAAAGGTAAGAATGACTGCTCCTACACACCTGCATTAAGGTCTTTCATTACCTAGTATTGCATTATTTCCCTTAAGTATTTCACATTTTGAGTATTTTGAAAGACAGAAAAACTATTGTGACATTGTGTAATAAGAAAACATGTTTTGGAATGTATGAGAGAAAAGGTTTTTTATTTCACTTTTTCAGAACTACAGAAAAGTTCTCAGTGAGGACGGGCTGCACTGGTACAAAAACAGGTACAGAACACAAAGGCACTGTAAGAGATTTGAAGCAGTTAAAACAACAACGCCAACAACCGTTTATAATCTGCCGGAAAAGACGAGCCACTCTCTCTATATACACATCATACAGTTTGTTACTAAACATAAATACACGAGTCAGTTCAACCCCCAACCAAATGACACCTTCTTATTTAAAAGATGAACATGACTAAATGTATGGTGTCTGCAGTTTTAGACTAGCAGCAGTTGTTTACATGTGCAGCACAAAGAAACACTTCAGGCGTTTGAGTGTCCAGTAGGTTTGATTGATTGTAACTAATCATCACTTTTGATTATATTTTAAACCCGACATGTGCAAAAGCATCTGGTTTACTAGCGCAAATGTTAGTTCACACAGAGGTGGCAGCACTGACCAACATGTAACTTCTGTCCAATCGTGGGACTCACACAGACAAGTGTAGAGAGGATTGGACATGCCACAGGTCACAACTCTGAAAAACCTCCTAGGCAGAGGACAGACGCAGTATTGGGTACAGCCGGTCCAACAGCGCCCTCCTCTGGACAGTATTGAAGTGCTCTACATCCGGTAACAGTCATTACTTCAAGGTGCACTTTTAAATAAGTCCACATTCTCAGTAGGTCAACACTGTAACAGGTACTTTACACTGGTGATAACATACAGAATAGAACAGGTATTGTTTGTGAAGTAACAAATATGACTTACAGGAACTTAACCGTACGTTTAGGTTTCACATCATAAGGTGCTCTTTTGGATGCTTAATTCCAAAAACTTCAAGATCACGAACTGCATCAATGCTTTTGTTTCCTCCGAGAACGTTAAGTTACAAACTTCTCAAGCGACGATAACAGACAATCCACCGGTGATACTGCGACAGCTCAACAATCAGAGAAAAGAGCCGTACCCTAACACTACACACCATTACTTTAACCATATACACAGTTGGGACTTCAGAAAATGAATACAACCATATCTACATCAATGTACATGTGTATTTATAATGCGTTCTTTGCTGTTACCATGACGACAATAGGCCCTTCACACCAAAATAGAACATTAAAAGAAAGATTGACCTCAACATAAAGACCTCAGAATGACCAATGCTTTTAAAATCTATATAAATGTTCATTGATTAGAGTTTTTTTTCTTTAGAAATGTAAACTGTTTAAAATATATGTACATGTGATTGGGAGCTTCTCACTAGTCAGGGGACATTTTGTTTTTAGTCAAAGTGAGGGCAGGATTGGCATTGCAAAAAAAAAACAACTGGCTAGGGTCCCAGTCAGGTTTGAAATCAGAGCAAAGTCATTGAAGAAAAGCTTGAGTCCAAGTCGCCTAAGAAAGATTTAAGTTTTGTTTTGGTTCAAGTCCCCTAGCGTTTAAAATCAAAGCTGGTCATAAACGTTTTAAATAAGGCCTAGCAAATTAGTAGTTCAAGTCGACTCCTCATCAAGTTCCCACAGTTTACGCTGCGACTTGTGTTACCGGGGAAAAAAAACAATATTAACCAAACCTTAGTCAATCAAGAAATTTGGAGTAAAGTTTCTTTTTCCTCCAACAAGCCTGGACCCTGTGAGGTATCGTTAGAGTGTGAACTGATTTGTGAGCTAACTACGTTTGTTTACCCTTGATAGTGTCACACTCAAAATTTTACATCATCTAAAAATCTGTTGAAACCAGTCTGTTACTGTAGTTGTGCAGTAGCCTCAGTTCTAGTCACCAATATTAAAGCCGACCCTCGAGTTCTACAATACAACACTGATTATAACTTGTTATCTAAACACAGCTAAACTATTTTTAAGTACTTTTAAGTAAAACTTTAAAATTAAAACATAACTAGACTTAATAATGAGAGACTATATTTACAAGTCTATATNTATATATATATATATATTATTTAAATAATATTGGTCACTGAAGCCAACAGAACAGACCTGCGACGAGCTTCAAGTTTTGCTGTGAATTTGACAGATGTGCTGCAGATGGCAGGGATGTTCACAGGCTGGTGGGCTGCGTCTGCGGCTGCAGGGGCTGCAGCTGCACAGGTTTGGGCTCCGAGTCCTGGAGGCTGCACTCTTCTCCCTGGCGCATGTATATCAGAAACAGAGTCACTGTGGCAAAAGTGGTAGCATTCACCGGAAAAGCTCGGAGCAGAGTGGACGTCAGTCCACGCGTGAAGACCCTCCACCCTTCTTTATTCACGCTCTGTCTGACGCAGTCTATAATGCTGCTGTACTGGTTGACGCCTCCGACCCCATCTGCCTGCAGACGCGACTTGATCACGTCCACCGGGTAAGTGGAGAGCCACGAGACAATGCCCGACATTCCACCCGCAAACAGCAGCTTTGGGATCATGTAGGGGTCTTCGGGCTCGCAGCCCAGGGAACGCGTTAACACGTCATAAGTGAGGAAATAAAACCCAAAACCAGGGGTCTCTCGCAGCAGCGTGGTCACCATGCCCCGGTTGATGCCACGGATGCCCTCCCTGTTGTAGATTCTCACCAGACAGTCCAGAGAGTTCTTGTACAGCTTCCTTTTAGACTTCTTCTCTCCTGTTCCCTGCATCTGCATGCGTGTTTTGGCTAACTCCATCGGGCAACAGATGACACACTGAATGGCTCCGGCAGAAGCGCCAGCAAGGAACTGATTGAGTGGTGTGTCACGGCCAAGCATACGCATGGCATTTCCCTGGACACCGAACACGATGGCATTGATGAAAGTCAATCCCATCATTGGAGAACCGATGCCTTTGTACAGACCCAGTGTCTACAGACACAGAGATAAGAGATGAGTGAATAAAGGGTGCATTCGTCATTAGAGCCAGAATGAAGTCAACAAAGGAGGAGGATTTTTAATTCAATTTTAAAATGACGCAAATAACATTTGAGAGGTGAGAGTAAAAATACAAAACAAAAATCACCATGATTAAACCATGGCTACACTGTGATCAATCTGATGACAAATTCTAATTGATTGACAGACACTAGGAAATACATGACTGATGTTTTTGGTCCAATGAACATCAATGAGTCTTCTTTGATTAACCAGAGGAAGTACCCAGTTTTGGTCAGAGAACATACTTACCTAGTAACTTAGTATAAAGTTTTGGTCAGAGAACATACTTACCTAATGCAGCATGTTCATAGTATAGAAATACTTTGTAGTTTCTTATGAAACAATAATAAAATGGTAGTAACAGATACAGTATTTTTGCTCAGTGGTGAAGTATACAATGTAATACTCTATGAGTAAAGGTTCACCAACCCTTCTCATACTCCGGTCAGCCCAGAGGGCAGTGCGTCCAAATCTTTTTATAGCTCACACAGGAATAAAGCCTTCACTGGAACTGGGGAAGGACTCCAACACCTCCCCTTTTTTCTCCCCAACTTCCCATGTTAGGAACGCTGGGCTGACAGGACAGTAACTGGACACTGATTGAAGTAATACACTGACCATGCTCTTTTTTTCTTCTTTTTTTTAGCTTTAATGGCCATCCACTGCCACCTAGAGGAAGAAAATTTACGTCCAGTTGCCTAACATAACTTTTAAACTTGACCTGGATGACTGAGACTCTTCATAGACATTGGATAATTTTACACAGCACACCTAATGATCTGCCACAGCACAGTGGTTAGGAATCACCACTCTAGACTGGCACATTGGGAAGCACATGGTGAAAGCGGAGCATTCAGTTCCAACGCAACCACAGAAATGTTACAGACGTCACGTGCTTACCGACTCTTGGCGAACAATGGACTGGAAGCAGTGAAAGGTTCCACGGTAAAGGGGTTTGTCCACATTTTGAACTTGAAGCCTCACCTATGGACAACAGACCTCGTGTTAGGCGTGCATCAGGGAGTGATCAGACCACAAAGGAAAACAACTACAAACCACAAACTAAGAGATTTTACAAAGGGGAAACAGAAAGGCAACAGTGTTCTGACATAAGTTTTATTTTTCAAGGTTAAGGGGAATGCTTAAGGGGATGCAACATGAGGAAAAAAAAAAGGTCAAAATAACACATTTACATTTTTTTCTTCTGCTTTATTTTTATAGCTCAAGACAGGACATTGGGTGAGAGAAAGAAAGACCTTGACCATACTCACTAGGTCACATTTCCGTGGAGAGGTTGTTTATTTCTCCCTCTCATCTACAACACAGTGACACTGTTGCTGTTAAAGACAGCTTCCCCCCTGGGCCCCAAACAAACACCAGCTCAGGCAGAAATGACATTGAGAGCAACGTAAACAAGAGCAAACAACCAAAGCAATCACTGTCCCTGTGTACACGTGTGTGTGTGTGTCTATAGAACAGAGTCTGTACTGTATGGAGTTTGAAGCATGCAAGTAAAATTACTGAGAATAATCCAATTTTAATTTAGAAGATTCGACCTTATAACCCTTTAACAAAACCCTTTTTCAGTTAGTTAATCGTGGTGTTAATAATACATTTAGAATAGAGATGCACCAATGACAATCTAGATTCTGCTCCTATGACGTTTTCTTCCTAATGAATTCGAAATGAACTGGTTTGGTTTCTTGAAGACACTAAACCTCTTCACCTAAGAAGCTGTTATTTAGCCTCCTGGCTGGAAACCTCAGAGAGAGTCACTGCTGTAAAACTAAGCAGGTGTCCACAAGCTTGTAGACTCTAGGTCCAGGTGTGAAAAGGGGGGTTGGATTAGAGGTGGAATGGTTTCAGAAAACCAAGTCAGTCCAGTTGGCTACTTCTCCGCTTTTTAGCACAGAATGACAAGATACTGATTTTTACAAAACCAATAAGTTTTTCTACTGTAGAAGACAAGAAACTTTGCACTAACCATCAGTTAATACTGATTTTAGCACAGAATGACAAGATACTGATAATCTAGACGAACCATTTATGTTTTATTGACATTTTCTTTCCTCTAAGAAGGATTGGATTTTTACAAAACCAATATTAACCATCAGTTAATACTGAAAGCTGAAATCTTTTGAGATTTCCTTTGCTACCACACTGTGCATCTAGATAGTGATGTCCACCATTTTACAGATAGTCTGGATAAACTGGGTTGAAAAAATGGGTATGGTCATGAAACCGATAACGAAAGATTTTCTTGGTGCATCTCTATTTTTAATGCCAAAGAAGCTAAAGATAGATGCAAACATAAGTTCAGCTGAAGACACAGGAGCTCATATTAACATATTGTAACAGAAAACATCCCCCCTGTCCCCCCAACAGAACTGTCGTAGCTACAGTAACTAAACGACGTGCTCATTGTGTCCCTGCTGAAGGATGACTGTGCAACTAAAAAGGTTATGTAACATGCATATTCCGGCTGCCAATGGGAGTTAAATACTGAACATTTTTCTTGCAACGGTCACACACACACACTCACAGCACTTGTATCATGTTACTGCCTTCCACAAGTGAGCAGTCGAGGGAATTAAAGAGACACCCACCTTCACGGTGTCAAATGGATGTCCAACCAGAACACCAGCAGCACCTTAAATTAAGACACAAAACAAGGAAGTCATTATAAATAGGGTAGGTTTTCAGTAAACGTGTCAAGTTATTAGTAACATCTGCAGCACATTACAGTGTAACTGACCGAGGTTGTTAACTATCAATGTCTTACCCCCCCCCCCATCGTGACATTTTAGTCACAATGCACGTGTAAAACAGGACTAATGTGATGCAAAGGAAAGATGGAAGAGAGCTTGAATATGTGACATGTTGATCTTATAGGTTCACTGAACTAGAGCTAGTAAGAAAAAAAACTCAACAGAGACTTAGGTCTAAAAGTTCTAGCATGCCACTCTTCTCTAGAAGGCTACGTGAAATGGAATGCATTTGCATTGAATTGTATTGGTCTTGCACATCAGTGCAGGTCTGCAACCTTGTCCACGACCTGACCACATAGGCACACGTATCTCTCTGGGCCTTAACTGATTAACCGCAAGCGCTGGGCAAGTTCGTACATTGTGTGTACTTTTAAATCCATGTTTGTGAAATGCAGGGAGCACTGTGAGCTCGCATTGCTATTTCAAGGTTGATGTAAACAATGACAGTTGTGAAAGAGAAGGAATTATCTCTTTGGCATGGGCAGCAAAGAATACACTGGATTTTAACTTGGAGCTTTTTTTAATTTTAGAAATCATTGTGTTGAATCTAACTTAATCATTTCAAATGCAATGAGATGGTTGTTTTAAAGCCAAAGAAAGGGGGAGGACTTGGAAAAATAATACAGAATATGTAGGAACAACTATTTTACAGTGGTGATATAAAGGTACATTTAGATAGTCTTCAAAATTACAGTTAGAAATTGATCGAAATGATGTAATATAAAATATATATACAAAAATTGAATTAATACTTTTTTGAATGCACCGTAATGCTCAGACAGATTTCGTTGGTATTGATCACATTAAGTGGACTCAATTTTTGAGTGTTTTGCACTGTATGTAACAGAATGTAAAACAGGGTATCTACAAATATGAGTTCTATCTCATGTGTCCTCAGAGTGCTAATTCTATAATTTTCCCCAAATTTTTTTTTCTTCTTCTTATTCTTATATTGTACATTTTGTGGGCCATAATTCTGAAGTTAAATTAAGAATTACATTTTGAGATTAAACTCAAAAGATAATTAGAAAAGTCCTTACCCTGTGGAAAGACAAAACAGCTGAGACAATTTCCAGCGGTCAAGAATAAGGCAAACAGGAAGAACAGGAACACTTGAACTCATTCAACTTTAGAAATTCCTGTTTCTCCTTTCCGTTTTACATAAATATCAAACAATGGCCAAAATTATGGGTTTAATTACATTTTCATATTTATTGTTCCATGTCTGCTTGGAATGCACGGGTATTTGCTTGTATCTATAATGCAACAAATACTACTTCCCGTGTAAGTCAGAGCATGTTTACACGTATTTACATTCACGGTTTTAAATGCGGTCATGACACGTTTTCTGTTTAAAAATACCACAACGCCAGAAGAATCCTCCCAGTTGTACTCAATGGAAAATTACAGGCGGCTGCTTATGCTAATACAACCTGTTAACTTGGAAGCTAACGTGGCTAACCACTTACCTCCTAAACAGCCCGCAGCGAAGTCCAATGCCATTCCCCTAAAGAAACCCTAAATCGGCTAAAACTCCTCAACCACACACGGCAGTAGAAAACAAACAAATCACCTTCTCTCCAGAGGCTGTCTGACTGTAATTATTTACAAACTCGGCTAAATCTTTAGCCGAACTCGTGCCTCTCCTTTGGTTGAACTAGCTGCTGATGCTAAGCTAATAGAAGACGGGTTTTTCTAAGGCAAGTGCAGGTGAACGAACTTAAACACGAAGCTTTGAATGCTTGGATGAAATTATGATACAAGAAACTATGCTGCTGATGTGGCCGCGCTCTCTCGGTCCCACCTTTCTATTTCTGTAGGCGCAGAAGAGGGGGCGGGGGCTGGGAGGGAAAAAGAAGAAGCATGCTTGGCCTTTTTAAGGCGCTCCAATCCGGGGACATGTAGGAAGACAACTCCCAGCGCCTGCTGTCCGCCCCTTACAGTCATTGGCTACAATGGAGGCAGCTAATGGTCGATCCTCTCCAACGTCAAAACCAACAGTGTTATCATGTGTGCCTGACTGTCCAAGTGTGGACGTGTGTACTGTAATTAGGTCCGAGCTGGGTTGTATTGGAGTCACCACTGTTTCTGAAGTCTATAGTCAACAGAGAAAAGTCACAGTGAGTCACCAGAGTCACCAGTGTGACCCAAGCAAAGTTAGGGTGAGGCCAGAATCTCAAGTCTTAGTCACTCAGTCAGAAGAAAGGGCTGTGATGTTTAATTCTTGTCCATGAAGCCTGAGTTTGAGTCTCAGTGACAAAACAAAACCTCAAGTCAGGCCAAGTTCTAGTCAACAAGTTAAAAGAAAAGTCTGTAAAGTTCTATTTTTAAAAAGACATTTGCATTCCAGTGACTTAAACTTTAAATTACATCTAATTAAACTATTTGGATTTGATTTTTGATCTGGACACGTTATTTAGTATTCAACAATGTGGTTTCAGGTATTTCATTATGTGGAGTAAAAATCATAAATCTGTTTTCATATTATTTTTTATTCATGATTGTTTTGGGGTGCTCTTCTCCCCCCTCCGCCCTCCAAATCATTTCCAGAAACAACAACTTTTCACTGTTGAAGTGTAGTTTTAATGTTATCCAGGCCATGGTGAATGAAGAGATTTACCTACATTGATATTTGTTTTTCCTCCTGGTGTAGACAGATAAGAACATGATTTTACTACATAACCACCTTCCAAAGCATGACTTCTAAACCATCATTCTGTACCGTGGGTGTGTAGCTGAGTTACACAGATTTCATCGGTGCCATTAAAACACCTTTCTCTTCCGCTAGTGGGCTGATTCTCGAGCACAGAGAGGGAATTACTACAGTATTAGAGCAGGACTGATAATTCAATCATTCAAACGTTTACATTAGAGACATGTATTTTTGGGTGAAGCTTTGATGTTTAGTTTAGCATGTCCAGCGATTCTCTCCAGTTAATGAGTAAACAATTGATTGTTCTTCATATGAATTCCCCTTTGAAAAACAACAAAGACTTGGATTGGTTCAAGCAGGCTAGTGTTTAAAATTCAAAGGTCTGGGAGTCATGAACTGCTTCACTATTTCGTCCGTGACTTGTTTGCGTCTCTCTTGGTGCTGGGCGATCATGGGCTGCAGAGTCTCAATCAGAAGCTTCTTCAGCTCTCCGGTGAGAAGAGCTCCACTCGTGTAGTCCTGTGGGAGGACAGAGGATAGGATTAGTAGAATCTACAACATAGGAGGAGTTCAGGGAAAGATGGAGTTTTATATACCAAGAACAGGGAACACAAAAGAAAGAAAAAGAAGTGATACGTTGTTGTTTTTCACATTCTCACCTGTCTAATCTTCTCCAGCTGTTCATCATCTTCCAGGAAGAAAGTCAGATACATGAAGGAGACGTCGACGTCTGCGTTTCCACCATATTTCCTGTGCTCTTCCACTGTGTCTTTGCCTCCAGAAAAGGCGTGTTTGTTGACCTGTGAGTCAACGTTTAAGAATTTGCGTTCACTCCTTCAGCAAACACAGGGCTGATTTATCTGTTTGACTACTAACCACTGACAGCGTTACCTTGTTTTTGATTTGCTTGGGCGAGTCGGTGAGGAAAATGGAGGAATTGGCGTCACTGGCGCTCATTTTGGTCTGCGCCCCCTGCAGGGCAGGAAAGAAAGTGGAGTGCAGCAGGGCTGGTTTGGGATAACCGATTCTTGGAGCAACGTCACGGGTCATCCTGAAGTATGGGTCCTGTGTGAGGAGGGGAGTTTCAGCAGCAGGTAACTATAAATACTACTGTAAAATGCAGTCTGCATATTGCTGCAGTATTGTCCTGACCTGGTCAATAGCACAGGGGATGAGACACTGGATGTCCTTTCTGCTTCCAAAAATATGTGGGAATGAGTTGCTAAAAGATGGGGCGGCCTGGATCGCTGGGAAGCTGATTTTTCCTTCAGGGATAAGATGAAATAGATCATTAAGTTGGATTAAACATTTTAAAGTACTGCAAGAGTTGAGGACAAAATTGTGTACACAATTTTTCTTTGTGGAAAAACCATCACAGTTGAAGGTTTAACTGTGACCTCAAATTAACTCTAGACATTTTCTGTGAGTATTTACCTATTTTGACGTAAACTTTAAAATAGGTAAATAAACCAACAAGTGAGCAGTGTCAATTCTGACTACATTGGTATTTATTTAAAAAGCTTCTCATATTCCTCCTTCAGTCATAGCTCCCTCCAACCTCTCAACATTTTTAGTTAAAAATGCACTGAAACGTCACTAATTAGAACATTTTTAGTTAAAAATGCACTGAAATGTCAATTAAGAATCAAATCATGACAGGCTTATAATTTTGTCTCGAACAGTAAGTTTGATTGATTGATTTTGAACTTTGTTTTTTTAGAAACTGCATCCTTTGGAATTTTCTTACCAATGCAGTCGCTGTCTGTGAAGCCAAAGATGCCCTTGACCTGGTTAAATGTAACATGTTTCTGCACCTTAACCACATTTCTGTAGAAATCCGGGCATGCACTGTGGAAAACAAACAGGAAATTAGAATTTGAATCAACTTTCTGTGCTTATTCAGGTAAACAATGAGAGAGAGGACACTTTGTTGTTGATGTATATATTGCTACACACAATTAACTTTGTCCATGCCACAAAATGTATTAGCTTGTTACCAGGACCACACACTAACACTTTGACAACAACTTGAGGATTTAGGACATTTGTCATTGTAATTCTCTTGTCTGTGAATCTGAGTTGGTTAACTGTAGCAGTTGGAGCCGCCGATATGGAAATGTTAGATGGAGGAAATTTGGTTGTTATTTACCCCATGTAGTCAAGGTCTGAGAAAATAAAGGTCTTGTTGACATCGAAGCCACAGGCAATTATGTCCCTGGCATTTTCTACAGCAAAGCTGTGACACTGTTCCACTGTTAGATCCTTCCACAGATACTTTTCATCATCAGTCAACTGGACCACCAGGGGTATGTCAAACACATCCTGTAGCCACCTGAAAAAAAGAGGAAATAGTTGAAAGAAAGTGATAAAATGTTGACTCAGTGCGTACATCAGAATAAGGAGACTCACTTGGTGAAGATAAAGGGAATTAGATGACCAACATGCATGGAATCAGAGGACGGACCTCTGCCAGTGTAGAGGTAGAAGGGCTTTTGCTTCTCATATGAATCCAGCACCTGGTGCATATCTCTGCAAAAAATGTATAAGTCTCAAAAGTGATGTTTCAAACATTTGGTGCATATCTCTGCAAAAAATGTATACGTCTCAAAAGTGATGTTTCAAACACTATACTGCTGCTGCTGCTGCTGCTGCTGCAAAAAGGCTCAAATGTCTTTAAAGATTAACCTGTGTGAGAAGAAGATTCCTCGTCTTAGGAAGCGGTGAGGTTTCTGTCCCGAGACTTTTTCTATTCTGTCCACCAGGTCCTTGTCAACTTTATTGCTGCCAAACCTCACTACAGAAAGACATGACACAGAGTGGGTAATTCTGCTCAAACATCCCATAAATTACCCCAGGGTTATTATACTGTAAAAACACACTGTGTTAGCCTTACCTATGAGTTTATCATAATCAACCCCCTTGGCATTTGAAGTGCAAACATTCCACGGATCAACTGTGTCTTCACCATCAGCACCATCTGCTACGGGACCATTATCAGAGCTGGTGATTTCTGTAGGTGGGCAGCCTGCTTTGTAATCCTGACCTGTAATCTGTTTGTAGTCAACTTTCAACTTTAGCAGCAACTGGACAGCAGCATCGACGTCAGCCTGGGGAACACAAACACTGATATTAGATCAATCAAAAAAGAAAATCTTTCCTTAGAACCAGTTCATCAAATTCAAATACTGTTTAGACATAAATTGAGACAATCTAAAATTTCTTAAGATGGTTTTAATGTTCATCTGTCACCTGGCAAAACAGATATCTGTGTCAGGAAACAGAATCCTTTGAGCAAAAATTGTTCTCTCTCTCTCTTCTTTGTAATTTTTTTTTCAGTCTCAAATTATATTAAACAGTTACTATCCAAAAAGGTCAGGAAACAGAATCCTTTGAGCAAAATTTGTTCTCTCTCTCTCTTCTTTGTCATTTTCTTTTCAGTCTCAAATTATATTAAACATTTACTATCCAAAAAAAGAAGTACTGCTGTAGTTTTCCTGGTTTGTTTACTGTGGCCTTGATGACAACAACCCACTAAAGTGCATTATGATTTCAAAATATCATTTTCAAGAACTTACTTTCTCAGCTTTGTCTGTTTTTAAGGCTCTGACTTTGTCCCCTTGCTGTGTTAACTTTTCATACAGCTCCATTGGACCGTTCCCTCTGTCTCCCTGACAGTCTGTCATGTTCTTCTCACTGGCTGAAACACAGGATCAAAACAATGAGATCAATAGTAAACCAACATTTTTCATTTATACAAAATATGTACTGGATACAATCTATAAAGTCAACACGGAGCAGCGATATCAGGCCTATACTGTAAATGCTTACACTGCTTTACAACATTGCCATATGTGAACACGAGAGCCTGACTGGCTAATATCCGTCTCATGTTGAAGCTTATCTCTTAGCGACAGATGCTGTTGTAAATGCGTTCCAAATTATACTCCAAAACAGTGTAAACCTGTCACAGTGAAATAGATTAAGAAATAAATAGGTATACCTTTCGATACTCCTCACACAGCTGACTGACAGCTTGCATCAGCCTGAGCGACGTAGTGTTCCGAATCTATTCTTCCCCAGCAACCTTGGTTCCACAACAGTTCCGCTATCTTTTAACAAAACACATATAACATAAAACAATATATCCATTAATATCACCAATATACATTGTTTAAAACGCTTCTTTCGATTTTAAATATAAACTTAATATAACATGAGCAAAATGATCCAATTTAATAAAACACAGAGCGGAAAAGCGCAATAGTGCTCGTACTCTTACCGGTAAATGTCAAAATAAAACGTTTCTTAACAAAGAATTCGCCTTAGCCGTTCATGTATAACCAATAATTATTAGGCAGCTTTTATTTTGACAGCAACCATCCTGAGTAAATGTTTTTGCGGGATGTTTGGGTGAGTGACCGTGAATAAGCTTGTTTATGCACGTTGTGTTATTAATATGCTTTATTTGTACAAATGTTTGTAATTGACTGGGTACGTTTGACTGTAGAACGCAGTTTAGATGAAATCGCGAAAGTTAATGCGCGACGTTAGCAAACTCTGCTAACAACAACACCAAAACGTCAGACATCCAGGTGATGTTTGTGTTTGTGAACAATTCTTTAAGCAATTGAAGGTATCTTTGCACTATTATCAAACAACGCTACTGTATTTACCTTAATGTCGCTAAACATCCTGGCTATCTTTAGTCTTGCTTGTTGTCTTGTAACTATCAGTTTTAAAAGCTTAAAGTAAGCTAATAGATAAAAATCTTAAACGTAACTTCTATGTTTTATACGGAAAAAGTAGTTTAACACGCGTACATGTGGTTACATTTGTTCATTAAACCGAAACAAACAACAGAGACGTGTTGACATAGTCACACAAATATTTATTCGATTTATCGTGCATTATGTTAGCTTAAATGTATAGGGAAATAAACTATAGAAGAAGAAGAAAACGTCACTAGAATATTAGCCAAGTCTGTGATCTACTGAAGTGTAGGTATCTGCAAGAAGAGGCACATACAGGTAACAAGTCTGTGATCTACTGAAGTGTAGGTGTCTGCTGAAGAGGCACATACAGGTCAAACCAGTGTGTGTTAAGGACAACTTGGAGAAAAAGACAGACATATAACATATCATTTGCTTCAAAGAGACAACACTGTATTTTGCATTTTGAAGTTAATCTGCAGTTAATATAGGAAACTGTTAAGGTGCAAAGAACAAATTCAACCGAATTTAAGAACAAAATGGAGAATATATGTGATCTGAAGTGGTTTGAATTACAAAAAGGAAACAATTAATTTTGAACTTGGTATGTTTTGTGAAATTGTCTGTCTCCCTTCTCTTGCAGACTACAAGTGCAGTGAACAGGATTTTCAGCTAAAGAAGAAAGGGAAAAGCTTATCTCAAGCTTAGCCCCATTGATGTCTGACCTAAAACCAATTTTGATGTCTTCAAGAAAGACAATAGTTATGTGATTTGTCCTAAAAAGCAAAAAAAAAAGCCCTGTATTTAACAACTCTAAAGATGGAAATTATATAAATATATTACACGTACCTTTGGCCTTAATTTTATTCACCTGAACCTTTGGATGTCAAGCACTTTTACTTTTAGCTGCTGTACCATATGCAATCACTAGATGTCGCCCTTGCATATACAATATCAATTCTCAAAATCAACAGTCGGTCTTTAGTGAGAGACTGACTTCTGATGATGTCTTCATTAGTGGCCTATGACGATTCAGGGTCAGAGGATGAATCTCTGGCTCATGGACCATTAGACTCTGTCCCAACTGGATCCTGTCGAGAAGATTCCTTAGATATGGACTCACGGGTGACGTCCAAGGCCAACAGTTCTACACAAAACTCCGACTGGACACTCCTGGGAAATCTTGGAAGAAACACAGGAAAGAGCAGCGTCTCAGTGAACTATGGGCAATCACAGGTTCCAAACTGTTCTGATCAGAAGAAAATAAAATGTTGTTACGTCGCTGGAGTGCAAAATAAACAGCCGGGAGACACTGCAGCGTTTCTGACACAGTTTTCTCCTCACACTCCACAAAGAGCTGCTGATGTTCTGAACCCAGCAAGAAGACAGCACAGTGTCCCATCTGGTGTCAGACCGTATGTCCCCAAGAGACAGAGACTTTCTGCTTCAGTAGAAACTGCTGACCCAAAGTGTCCAGCAGAGCAAGTCCCAGGCAGTCAGAGAGAAGCGAGTCAGATTCTCTCAGATGTGTCGGAGCGAGTGAAGCCATATCTTGATGTCAAGCCCGAGGCAGCGGGGCTACCTCGGAGGCTCCTGCTGCACTTGAGGGCCCATCAAGGACCTGTCAACACGGTGCGGTGGTGTCCTGTTCCTCGCCTCAGTCACTTGCTGTTGTCTGCGTCCATGGACAAGACCTTCAAGGTAATGAGTTCTTCTATACCGATGCAAAACCCAACAGGCTTTGATTATGATCTGTGCCCTTATATTTTTACTGATAGTGATAATTGTTTCTCTAGATAATTATAATTTTTTTTTCACCAGTGGTGCAGCGCTCTGTCTCAGTCTTAATTTTGCGCATCAGTAAGGATTTAAGGTGTAATGATGTGACCTGATGTTCTCTGTAATCGCCACACTGTTACACTGCAGGGAGATAAAACCTAACCCCTGCTGCTGCAATTAACACGGCACTTTTTTAGAACCATATCTGTCACTGTCAGTTGAATATATGTCAGGACCCAGGGGAATTCTGTTTCCCATTCTTCCCCCTCCTCTCTCTCTCTCTCTCTCTCTCTCTCTCTCTCTCTCTCTCTCTGATCTCCCTTCTCTCTTTTGGTGTTTTTCACAGCAGGAAAAAAAAACAAAAACATCCCTCATGTCCCAATTGTAAAGGTCAGGCGATGCTAGTGTCAGCAGGTGACTAAATATTTCTGTCCCGACTCAAAATCAAGTCACTATGTACTCGGAGGAGTCTGAATAATTAAGCAGTTGAATATGTGTTGAGTAATTTGCATAATCACACAAGTGCAGCAGCGGCGGCAGCAGTGTGGCAGGCGTCAACTCCTGGCACCTGTTTGGAGCAGATGGTTTGGAGCAGAAGAAAGGTCTGAAGACAGACTGGGTTGCTTGTGTGCAAGGACTTTGTCTTTGTCTGTATATCAGGTGGGCTCTGTGTGAAGACAGCTGATGAAGGCGCTCTTTCGTGTGCTGCTGCACACGTCGCCCGTTAGCAGTTGTTCATCGTGAGTAATAGGGTCGTCAACAGCTTAATCTTTCTCCCCGAAAGTTCACGCTTTTGTCACCGAAAACCCGGGCTCTGCATTAAAGTTTCAGCCGTAATCAAACACACTGCGTCTCTACAAAATCCAGGTAATTACACCGGGCTAAAGTGTTTCTAGAAACAAACAAGGTGCACATAAAGTGTGTTACCATAGCAACTGTGCCTTAGCTTTGCACTGCCATAACCAGTTAAAGTTTCTGTTTTTTTTACAATCTGAACAAAGTAAAATTTAATGTTGCTGCGGCAGAGGAGATCTAAATGAAATCCGATAAATTCTTGTGAAGGAATTGTTGTGTTTAACAGGGAGTTGGTTCTTCCTTCATGAACCTTCAGTATGTTTTCATCTTTTTTTGGTGAATATGCACAGAGATAAGAGCCAAAAAGTGTTTCGGAGCAGAGGTGCTTGACCTCTTTGACCTCAGGAAGCAACTCTTCCAGCACAAAACAGACCACTGCCCATTTATATATTAACACAGTTTTGTTTGTGTTTTACTTGTGGTTTGGTTTCCATTCCATTTGTAATGTGCTATTATTAAGGCCTATTCTGTGCTTTACAACTTTTAGAGTCAAGTCATGACAAATAGTCAACCAATTACATTCACAATATCTACATCTCATTAAATTTAATCTTTCAGACTTAAACCTTTTGATCGCATAAAAAAATGGAATAAAACTATATTTAGTGAATTTTATTGACTTAAAAGGTCAATGTAATTACTGAGTAAGTAATTATATTGACTTGTGGTTGCACTGCAGGGAATTTGAACATGATTTAAAGATGGTGATATTATATTTGATGTTGTACTGTTGAAGAAAAAAAGTGTCTCCTGTGGATCAGTTTGACAGCTTGTTACAGTTTCTTAATGACAAAGTGGATCAGTTTGACAGCTTGTTACAGTTCCTTAATGACAAAGCACACACACACACACACACACAGCACAGGGTCTCCACAGGTATATGTACCTGGACAACACACACACTTCACTTTGAGTCCATGTTTTCTTTTGTGTTCCCCTGAACACCAAACCCCAGCTCTGTCGTCTTTGTGATTGGACTTTATTTCATTATGGACGTCCTTTAGGCTTCTGTTGTGTCTCTCTCTCTTTCTCTCTCTCTCGCCATCATCAGTTTGTCAGCTCGTCAGAAGCATAGTCAGAATATTCATCTTCTCCATCTCCTTCTCCTTCTCCTTCTCCTTCTCCTTCATCTTCTTCTGTCTGCAGCTGTCGTCGCCGTGGCTACAGCAGGTGTTAGGCAGCAGTTTTAAGTTGATAACACCAATACCAATTTACTTTTAATTACTGTAAGTCATTCAGGAAGTAGATTAACCCAATGAGTCATTCGCCCGAATTTGCGGGGCTGTACAAATAAACAAGTGCAGGTTCTTAGCCATGCACGGGTCTACTATTTAAACAGTATTGGTGTGTGTGTGTGTGTATGTGTGTGTATGGTTTGGTTAATGGTGCGTATCAGTAATGTTGTAATTTCACAGGAAGCCGCCTGGAGAGAAACCTGTGTGAAGTCCGTGCTAATACAGATTTAATCATCAGGTGCTGTTTAGCGGGTCTTTATGTTGCCTAGAGAGGGCAGTGTTTCCCTAGATCTGACATTATCCGGTTGACGTGGAGAGGATTAGAGCAGCGTGGAATTCTTTGGTGTGTTTCCTCTAGAATAATGGAATTAAAGTTAAAGATTTAAACTATATATATATTTTATATTTCTCACTCTATATATTTTTAGACGTGGAATAAACATATACACAAAGTGATTTGTGGTCAGCAGTGGGCGCTCCAAGGGAATTTTGATTTTTTTTTTTTATATCAATTAAAACAAAGTTTCTTTTGAAACTGCTTCTGAAGTAGTTCATCTCAGATATTTGACTCTGACTACACATACAAAAAATACACATCTATATTTATCCCTATTAAAGTACATTGATCTAAAATAAGCATCAATTGTTTTCTTGTATTTCTGTTCTTTTTAGCTTTCGTGTCAAAAATGTGACTTGGTTTTTTCAGTGCGTGTACTTTTTTTTTTCTTTTTTTTTTTCTTTTTACCCTTAAATCCATCTCAGGCATTCTGTTTGTCAAAGACACAGTGTATTGATATGTCACTGTTCTCCTCTACCTCCTGCCTCCTGTCTTTCTCCTGTGAGATTGTCTATGTTCCATATGCTGTGTGGAGGAGTCGTCTTTAATAATGAAACACAGAAAGAGGCAGAGAGGGATCTGCAGCACAAATCTTCAAAGTCCTTCTCTGGTCCTGACACAAAACCTGCCTCATTAGAGAGTGTGTGTGTGTGTGTATGTGTGTGTGTGTGTCTGTTGGCCTGACACCAGACCACCTGCCTGGGCTTCGTTGAAGATGTGATGTTGTTTGACAGAAACCTATTTATCTCTATCAGCAGGAGCATCTAATGAAAAAACAAGTGAGTGTGTTGACCGGACAGTTGGTTCGGTGCTTTCTTTGAAACACCGTGCAAAAAAAAAAAAAAGCTCTCACGCTGATTAAAGACGAAGCCAAAAACGATCTGTAATGACCTGACAAATTAACGCCTGGTTCATCAATCACTGCCCGGCTTTTATTTGTCCCTGTTTTACACTTTGTTTACACCACATGAGCAGAAATCAAACCAATGAGGTCTTGAATGGCAGCAGAGGCACAGGGGTGAGGAGCTGCTGGCTGCTCTCCCGCTCTCCCCTCTCTCTCTCTAATAATAGTACAGTGTTAAAAACACAACAGGGTCAATTTGTTTACATCTTTGTAACGCAGAGCAACATCTGGCCAAGAAAGAAAAGTCTGCCTCTCAGTCTCGGTGTTTGTGATTATGTTATGTTCCACTGAATGCTGCTTGTAATAGGTGGCGCTGTCCCCATACTTTTTTTTTCTTTACAACCAAGTAATTTTATTCATGTACCCACTAATACCAAGTACTTTTAATGATACTGAAGGCAATTTCCTCAAAGGTTGTTATTCACGTGAATATTTCCCCCCCAAAAATCCGAGTGTTTCTTTTGAACAACTTTAAAAATTGATGCCAGTAACACGTAAACTGAACTGTAAGTCTTAAGCTGCTCTGGTCACTGTGTCCTCTCTGTTCTCCTCACCGTTCCATCTATGGATGGCACAACACAACTTTTTGTCGTCCATTATGCCACAGGCTTTGTTTCAACCAGCAGCTGTGTCCCCGTTTACGACATGAAGCGCAAAGTTAGGTATCGGATCAGATGAGCTATATTTGTTTGTTTGATGTATCGGATCAGATGAGCTATATTTGTTCGTTTGATGTTCAGTCCTGACATTTTGACCAATATCAGACTAACACCAATCCCATTCCCGAGTATTGGATTCAGCCGTCCCTAGTTGAGTCCAACTTGGTTCAGTTTACTGTCCATCTGCTCGTAGAGTGCAAAGAGCAGACCGGATAAACTGTGTTCAGTGGTCCAGATCTCAGCTCAACTGAGAAACGTGTGACAAAAAGAAGAAAACCAGGCGACAGTGACTGTGGTCTGTTGATCAGCTTATTTTTATTTTTTGTTTTTTTACTGCAAAATTTATTAACTGTCCTCTTCCTTATTCATATCCCTAAGAATAAAAAAGGTGTTCACTTCCAGGTATTAATTCTAAATTATTTAAGAACAAATACTGATAAGTCATTTTGATGTTTTAAGGTAAAGTCTATTTCAAGCTTCCAGGATAAGACATTGTATATTTGTTTATGGCCTTCTGTCAGAACGATATCCTGCTGCTTGGATTTGACGTGTCTGTGTCCGGCAGGTGTGGGATGGAGCAGAAAGTGGACGATGCCTCAGAGTCTATAGCTGTCATTCTGGAGCGGTGCGTGACGCCTGTTGGACGCCCTGTGGGCGACACCTTCTCACCGGGTCGTTTGACAACACTGCTGCCGTCACCGACGTGGAGACAGGTGAGCAGCAGCAGTTATTCCTGGGAAGACGGTGAGAGATGACAAAGCACTGGACCTATTTTGCAGAATGACACTGAGGATTCACGCTTGTCCTCAGCTTCAGATACTATTCTGCATACTGCGGTGTGATTTTTCCAGAATGTCATATTTGATATATTTCAACAAAGTATGAGCAACTGTTGTTATTGTCCAAACTGTCAACATTACTTCGTCCAAATTTTAGGTCAATCCTTTACATTTATGCAGGGAGTGTCTTTAAAGTGCCTCCAGTCAGAAAATCTCTTATTAATCCCGTCAGTGTAGACGCTGGTTCTCTCTGTCTGTATACAGATTTTGGGCACTGCTGCCTTAAATCAAAATCATTTATTTGAATTCAGTGAATATTCAACTGAAGAATTATCTTCAAAAGCTTATTTCTTTTTAGTTAGCAGCAGAGTTGGGGTTCACCCTGGACAGTTAACTGTCCATCAAAGGACCACATGTTCAGGGTAGCTCTGTGTACAGGTCACCTAACCCTGCAGGCTCAGAAAGACAGCTAGCGTGCTAACACGAGCGATCCTCTTACCACTAAGCCACGGTCTGCCCTAACAACTCCCCTGGATGCCCATGTAGACTTTGCCCTGAAGAACATTAATATTTGAGTTGACCCATTCTGTAAATCGAATTATTTTAAACTTGTAATTATCATAGTTCTTTATATGTGGGATATTTTTTTCACAAGTCAAGTATGGCCCAATGTTTAAGTAAAAAAAAAACAAACCAGCAGGTGACAGTAAGGCACATCTAAGTAGCCAGTATTTAACTAACTCTAGTTCTGCTCAAACTGTGTTTATAGCACCCCTTACAGGACTGAGACACACAGTACACTTTCTTTGTAGCACCCCTTACAGGACTGAGACACACTCAGTTTTTTACAAAACTAAAGCATTACGGCTCTGAACTACACCTGTAAGGTTTTATTGTAAAGCTACTCCAAAATGCTTCCATTTGTTGCTTGCATTTAATACTAAACGCCCCGCGGTTAGATTTTCATTGCTTTATTGCCGTCTTTTTGTGAAGAGCTGGAAGGCTTTCGGTGGCACCAGTGAATTATCTGGAGGCGAGACTGTCTCATTTAGCAAACAGCCTCTAAATGAGATTCTAAGGCGTCTGCTTGTCTGCCTCAGTGGAGAGGGTCTTAAAATTGGTGCACATTTCTCACTGTCTCCTGGAAGCGCGCACGCCCACAAATAAATACACACCGTATTTGCCCAAAGACAGACATTCTCCAGCTTAACTTTGTCTTCAGAAGTTCTGATCCAACTCCTCCAGCTTGTTCTATTTGTCAGCCCTTATGCCTGTGATCATAAATTGGATTTTATACACACAGAGAAGATCAATAAGTGACTTGTGGCTTAAAGCGTTTCAGACTGCGACTGTTTACCTTCATTTTGCAGCCATTTTTTTTTTGTGGCTCCAAATTTTCTAACTAGCAAATAAAAATTCTTTCTACAGCTTTATAAGTTTTGTTTTCCACAGCTCTGCCTTTAGAAAATATAATAAAATATAAATATATACACCGGCCAAATATGTCCAAAATAATAGAACACTTTCTCGTCAGAAACAACAACAGGTTGTCGATTGTTCCGTGGATGAAATAGAATTTCTCAAATTCTAAAGGGCTAAAATATCATTTCTCTTACACAAACTATATCAGATTTAAGTTGCTAAAATGACGTTTAACCGTTATTAGTCTTTTTCTGCTCACATATTATGACTTGATGACCACATTCATAGAAAAACCATTAGAGGTAAAGCATTTATAGATCTCTTTTTTAACGCCCAGTGGCATCTCCATTTCTGGGGTCACCACAAAGTTGTGATGACTTGCTGCCGTTTGCACTTCCCCTCTCAGCACGCCTGTCAATACTGCCAATAAAGCCTACGGATAATAGCTTGGCCAGCCCATTAAACACACAGGCAGCTGCAGGAAGGAAATCAATAATGGATACATCACCACAGGAGCAGCCACCGTGACCTTTTACTGGAATCGCCATCCACCGACACATTTATAAAACGCTTTTTTATTTCAGACAAAGTCTTTGGTAGTTGCCAGTACTTTGGTCAACTCAGTGTGGTGTGTGAATATGTCTTCACCAACAGCTTTCAAGCAATCTCAGCTGTCTGGAGAGGTCTCCACAACAGTGTGGTCTCCATTCCCCATTTTGGGATTTTTAGTTTTAGTAAAAAAATTAAATGTGATTAACCACTGGATAACTGTGAATTAATCACAAATGTATTATAATAATTTTTGATTATTCTTTTTTGTCTTTTAGTTTCTCTTCGATGAAACTAAAACGTTTTCCCGTGAATTACTGTTACTACTATGCTGTTAGAAATAATCACGTGTACCCCAGAAAATATTCCAAATTTTCTGAGAAAATATTCCAAATTTTCTAGGGAAACTATTATATATTTACTGTTAATTATAAATCAGGAAGAAGACGGGTATTAGTAATTTTCTGTCTTGTTGTAGAAGCTGAAAATATTCTGGAGAATACTTTTCAAGTAGTAGAGAATTTCTAAGTTACTTCTGTTTTCTCCCACAGTCCATGAACATGCCGATTAGGGACGAGGTTAATTGTTCGATCAGCATTGACCATAGTTGAGAAAATAAAAGGACTATTGATGTTAAATTAATGATTCCTTTTAGGTGAACATGTTTGATGTGTTTGACAATAACATTAGACCTTTAAAACCAAGGCCAGAGTGGAAAAGTGATTTAATAACAATGAAATAAATACAAACTGACATAATTGTGGGTCTCTTTACAACATATTGGACACTACCTTCTATAAGCCTCGCTCTTCTACAGAGGTTTTACTCTATATTTGACAGAAATGTCGGGGTTATTAGAAGGACGTCAGCGTAATGATGGGAGTGATGTTTGAAAACCTAATGAAGCTCCTGACACTGACACAGCAGTGTCAACTCTGTTGACATTATGGGAGACATGGGACGCTGAATGTTTGTCATGTCGGTGTGTAAAAAGGAGTAATTTGCTGTTAGTGTGTCTCACAGCGGGGTGAGTCATTAGTGGGGCCGTGCGGCAAATGCCCTTAAAAAATGAGAACTTGCCCTTGAATTTCACACGATGGGGGGGAAAATAGAGCTGAGTCAGTCAAATGGCATGCTAGGCTTCTGCAGCACACAAAACTTTTACGTGTTGTTGCCATGTGAGCGCATGATATTGCAAATATTGGTTATTGGCTAGCTAGCTGCTGAGCTAGCTGTCCTTAGAATATATGTTACTGTGAGCAAACAGAATTAGAAATGTGCTAATGTCACTACAGACTGAAGTAAGAGGCAGCTTCAACAGTTACCCCAGGAGGTTTAGCATCAGCTCAAAAAATGGTGTTCATTATTTTCATAATTAAAACATCTAGCTCGGGTCAACAACTAAATGTTCTCTAAACTACTTTTTTGTTAGTCAGTTAATCAGTTTTAATTAAATTAAAAAATTTAAAATTAAATAAATGAATATAAGCAGAAACGTGCGCCTCTCCCACTTCTGGAGACGTGCTCCAGTTCAGACCCTTCGTTCATCAACAAGGGCCCTGCTGGTCCCCTGACCTCCATTTGAGCACGGTACAAAACCAAACATTGCATCAGTCAGAGTGTTTACAGAGAAATTGAATTATGGGAGAACTCTTGCGTCAGTGTGCAGCGTGAACACGTTTCCCTTGGACACTGCAGCAGTTATTCCTGTGTCCACTTTACCTTGTGTGTCCTCTCCCAGTGGAGCCCCGGGAAGGCTGTCACAGCTGAATTGCAATTGTAAAGGGCGAGGGGAACGTCAGGGAAGCGAGGGGAAGGGATTACAGGTTAACAGGCACATTGCAGGGGAGAGGAAAGTGAGAACCCCGGAGGACGAAATCAAAAGAGGCAGAAAATATTCACAGAATGAGGGATGGGAAGACCAGGAGTTTGGGAGTGGAATAAGTGGATTTCATCTGGAGGGCATGAGTGTGAAGTGGCAGCTGTTGTCCACTTCCAGAGCCGTCGTTGGCAAGGCTGATTGGTGGAAGTTGGCGTTGGAAAAACATTTCCATATCGCCGCGGGCAGTAACACGTTTGCGTGTCAGATCTTGCATGTGTGTGCAGGACTGGAGTCCTCTGCCCAGATCCCTGCAGGCACTGGCAGACAGGAGACAGGACTGGCTTTTCCAAAAACCAATAGCACGCAGCGACGGTGCCAGCGTTGACGTGAGCTTCTGTATTACACTTCCACCTCAGTTGGACTTTGAAGAAACATCTTTGGTGAAAGAAGCCAAATCCTCCTGTAGAGTAGAGCCCAGCAGCAGGATGGAGTCTTTATGAAAGTGTAATTCATGACTTTTCAGTGTAAAACCCAAGTGGTGCCAAGAGAGAACGATGAGTCATCATGTGGAGTTGACCTGAAGAAGAAGAAGTCTGCATTCACATATCATTCAACCAGGCTTGTCCCAAGTACGATTATTTTCATTTGTGTACTCACTGGCACTTCTTTAAGTTTGACTGCAATACATATAGAATGAACAGAAAGCAGTGTTATATATTTATATTGTGTTATAATATATACAGTCAAAGACAACAGAAGACAACAACTAAAGAAAACGTGTTTAAACTGACACTGTCGTCATATTAGGTGGTTCCATAGTGTGTCGTTTATCACGCCTGCTTACACATCTGCCTTACACGCAGAAGGTCCTGGGTTCGAGCCCCAGAGGAACTGCACACCTGGTGCCTCCAAGGGGCAGCCTGTTGCCACATATCTGCTGTTAGCGCTAACATTTCCCCAGTGTGCAATCAATAAAGTTCAAGTTATCATTTTGAAAAATATCAATAAAACTAAGGATACAATAAATACAAATATTAGCTGAACAGAAAGTGAGCAGAGCTTTTACGTCGATTGTTGCAAATATTAGCTGAACAGAAAGTGAGCAGAGCTTTTACATCGATTCTCAATTTAAATGCTTGTGAATTTCCTCGTTGTGGGATGAATACGGTAATCTTTATTCTGTTTAAGGAGGAATCCTGTGGTTTTATTCGTTCTAGTTCGAGGTCCCTGAATACAGGCAATAACCAAACAAATAAGTGGTTAAACTTGACCTAGTTGTTTGCAGATATAGATACGTTTAGATCATATTCATATATATGCCTGAGCTGTCGTTTTTCCTCCGAGAATCTTAAATGTTCCCAACTTGCTTTATTAAGGCCCATTTGTTTTTCATTCTCTTTTTTCAAAATAGCCGAGTAATGTGCAGCCTAACCTTTACTTATGTGCCGTGACAGCACCCTGCCTCGCTGGACCTGGTAATGAGGCAGTAGAACCATTTCTACACCGCTCCCCTCGGCTTCTGAAACCTCCTCCCTGCTGTCTCTGTCCCCACTAATGTCCTCCACTCTGTCGTCCTCCACTGTTTGTCCGCTCTGCAGTGTGATCACAGCCCTTTTTTGTGCCAATAGTATTTTTCAAATTCAGTAAGCTCAGTACCAACTGGACATTTTATGCAGGATATTTGACTTCTCAACAAAGAGAACTTCGCATTTGAACCAAACTGCAAGTCTTGTTGCTGCAGACTTAAAAGAATTGTGATTTAGATGAATGTAAATCTACACAGACATTTATCAGTGCAGAGACGACTGCAGTTTTATTATCTCTCCTCGTTACGCAGATTTACTTCTAGCGAATTAATCTTACTTAAAATATAATAGAGTTAAAAAGAATATTGTATTTTTCATTTTGCTTTCAAAGTTTTAGTCTTTAATGACTTTAGATTGGCATATTGAAGCCAACAATCTTATATAAGTTGGAGATTCAAACTTTTTTGTAATTTGGGAGCAGGCTGGTCCAAAATGAAGTGAACAGAAAACAGCTTCTTGTCTATGATTTGCTAAAAATCCATCGCATCTATCTCCTCAGTAGGAAAATCCAGGAATGTTTGTATATTTATGTGCAGAGTTTTTACGACCTAGCGCCCTGGCACTGTTTGGGTATTATTGCATAATAAATAAATAAGAAGTTGTTATACTCATAAGCCGGTGCTTTACATATTAGTCCACACAACCGCAGGGCTTCATGTCTGGCTCACGTTTTCTAATTTAGATGTTTTTTTTTCCCCCAAGGAAACTAATTTGGGTTCCTTCCCGTCAGGTTTAATTATATTTAATCCCCACATATTTAACTTTTTTATTTTGTTTTTTTAAACGTGGCCTTTTTAAAATTGATTAAGATAAAGCCGCCTCCAGCCAAAACAGTGGTTACTCTTCCCATATCACTGTGTCATTTAGCTTAAGGATTGTCTGGAGTGGTGTTTAAATCCAGTCGCTTTTCTTAGACTCGAAATGTGAAGCTGTCTGAAAAAGTGGGTTGGGTGTAAGTACAACATGGGCACGAAGTGACCTCTGGTGGTCAATCTCATTATCCACTATATTACTTATAGGCATTTCAGTTATTAACTGACCTTGGGCAACAAATGATGAGGTAATGTTGAAATCACCAAGGTTGTTAACAATGGACAGACTGTTATGGCCAAAGACTAACATTTTGCTAATATGCGTCAAATGTGCAGTTTCTATCTATTATATTTGGGTTTTTTATATATAAAAAACGGGGCCAAAGACTGATCCCTGTGGAACCACACAATACATTTCTTTCAAATATCTTTGGATCAGTTCGGTGAAATATGTATTTTTTCCCCACATCAGCATTAATCCTATTTTTGTCTCTCGTCTTTTCTTTGTGTGCGTAGGGCAGCAGATAGTGAAATTGGACAATCAGTCCAAGGTGATGTGCACAGTCCTGCATCCCAGCAATCCTGATATATTCCTGTGTGGAGGTTACAGTCCTGTGGTCAAGGCCTGGGACTCTCGCAGCTGCAAGGTCAGGCTTATTAACCTTCCTACAGTTTATCATTTTTATTGACCGTGGTTCACTGACTGTTGTTTGACCTTTATAAATCCACGTCATGTTGGCTTTCAACACAAGCCCCACGATCACAGCTCCCTGCTACCGTATGTACTTTGAGCCTTGGTTCAGTACAAACAAAGCATTTCACATTTGACCTGACGCAATGACCTGCACTATATTTGCTCATAAATGAGGTAATGCTGCAGGTTAATTCGTTCTAATTATTCAAATCTACCTTTAAATTCCTTCTTGGTTGAAAAAAATGCGTCCATTAAGCTGCAACCTAATATGACTAATAGACTATTTTATATGGTAATCCTATTCACTTCCTTGGAATCTGGATACTCTCATGTAATTTTTACTCTCTCGCCAGCTGAATCATTTCCCAGCAGGGTTTTAGGTTTAATACAGCAGGGATTACCTCCACCATTCAGAGAAGAAGTGATTCGGAGAATGAGCACAGACCAGTGCTCGGAAAATAGGCTGTTAATGCTGCTGTTTCCTGGCTGCCTGTCAGTCCTAGCCCTGGGCTGTTTGTGTGTGTTTTGCTTGTGCCGTGGAGAAATGACTCCACTACATACATATAAAAAGGTTGTTGCCAGCTCACCCATTCAGGAACACAACACCACCCACAACTGCCTCGACTCACGAGACACAAAAGGTAGAGTTTGTAGAGATTGTTGGAAGATTGCTGTAAGTCAGAGCAAAGTGTACACATTGTATGACAAACCAGAAGGTGTGATGTAGAAACACATTCAGGTCAGACCTCTGAGGTGGGGTCATCCGACAGTAGCCGATGTCCAACCCCACCCTGATGGTGTTCTGTTGAATCAGAGGGCAGGCTCACTGTTAGTCTGACTCTAGTGTTCTTAGTCCGTCTTTTTGGAATTTAGGGCCTTGTTTACTTAGTAGTATAACTATAAAAAGTAAAAGTCAAAATTTTATTTGCAGTCGTGATGACCCCGATTAATTAAATATTAATTAAAGTCACTTCCTGAAAATTTTATTTGCAGTCGTGATGACCCTGATTAATTAAATATTAATTTAAAAGTCACTTCCTGTTGATTATCAGCGAATCTAATCCATAGAGAGACATCCATCCATCCATCCATCCATCCA